ACACAGGTAAAACATCTTTCTTGTAGTCTCTGTTTTCAGACAACAAACATCTGACATGAGCATGTCATCTCCTGAATCTGGCTTGAACCTCTGGAAGTTTTCTTTCAATGTATGGTTGTAGCCATTTTTGAATTCTCTTTCGAAAAATTTTACTTGCATGTGATATTAATGATATTTTCTGATGATTTCCATATTTCACAGGGTCACCTCTCTTTGGAATGGGTAGAAATATAGATCTCTTCCAGTCACCTGGCCAAGTAGTTGTCTTCCAAATTTATTGGCATAAATGAGTTAAGGTCTCCAATGCTTCATAAGTTTATTGAACATTTCAATTTATATTCCATCAATTCCTGAAGCCTTGTTCTTTGCCAATGCATTCAACACACATTGGACTTCTTCCTTAAGTAACACTGGCTCTTGATCATATGCTACCACTTGAAATGGATGAACATCGATGATTTCCTTTTGGCACAGTGGCTCTGTGTATTCCTTCCATCTTCTATTGATGATTTCTGCATCATTCAATATTTTCCCCATTGTTTTTGTTGTTAAGTGCAATCAAAGCAATTCTGACCCATACCCTGTATAGGGCTTCTGAGGAGCAGAAGGTGAGCTTAAACATCTGATCTTGTGCTAGAATCAACTTTGCAGTCCAGCACATTAACCCACAGCACCACTCCAGGACTCCTATTTTGCTCATACAATCTTTCATTATTTCAAGTCAAGGCTTGATTTTTTCCTTCTGTTCCCTCAGCTTGAGAAATGCCGAGTGTGTTCTTTCTTTTTCACTTTCTAACTCCAGGTCTTTGCACTTTTTGCTGTAATATCTGACTTTGTCTTTTCGAGCTGCCCTTTGAAATTTTCTATTCAGCTCTTTTACCTCCTCATTTCTTCCATTTGCTTTAGCATTTCTGTGTTGAAGAGGAAGTTTAAGAATCTTTTCTGACATTCATTTTGGTCTTTTCCTTTTTTCTTTTCTTCTTAAAGAATTTTGTTTTCTTCCTGTATGATGTTCTTAATATCATCCCACAACTCTCTGGTCTTTGGTTTTTAGTGTCTAATGTATCAAAGCTGTTCCCTAAATTCAAGGTCATATTCTGGCTCTCGTAAACTTGTTTTAATTTTTTTCAGCTTCAGCCTAGACTTGCATATGAGCAATGTTTCACAGTCTGTCCCTGGCCTTGTTTTGGCCGATGATGTTTTCCCACCATGTCTTTACACAGATGCAGTCAATTTGATTTTAGTGTATTGCATTTGGTTAGGTCCATGTGCATAGAAATCTTTTATGTTGTTTAAAAAAGGTATTTGCAATGAAGAACTCATTGATCTTCAAATTTTGTCATACAACATCCATGACTGTTTCTATCACCAAGGCCATATTTTCCAACTACTGATCTTTCCCCTTTGTTCCCAACCTTTGCATTCCAATCACCAATAAAGATCAATAGATCTTGATTGCAAATTTGATCAATTTCAGACTGAATAAGTTGGCATAATTTTTCAATTTCATCATCACTGGCTTTGTTGTTGTTATTGTTATGTACTGTCAAGTCGATTCTAACCCATACCGAACCTGTATAGGGTTTCCATGGAGCAGCTGGTAAGCTTGAACCACTGACCTTTCAGTTCAAACAACTTTGCAGTCTGAAGCATTAACCCACAGCACCACACCAGGGCTCCATCACTGGCTTTAGTGATGTGCAAATTTGAATAGTAGTCTTATTAACTGGTGTTACTTGTAGGCACATGGATAATATCCTATCACAGAAAATGTTGTACTTCAATAATCACCTCACATGCATGTGAAATTTGGACAATGAATAAATAATACTGTAGAAGGATTGATGTATTTGAAATATGGTGTTGGCAAAGAATATTCAAAGTACCATGGGCTGCCAGTAGAATAAACAAATTTGTCTGGGAAGAAATACAGCTAGAATTCTTCTTAATACTCACAATCACTGCTAAATTTGAGGCCACTGTTGCTGCCATTGTGCCAATCCTTAGAAGTGAGGATGGCAAGACTTGGTCTGTCATTCTTTAGATATGCTGTCACAAGAGATCAGTCCCTGAGGAAGGAAGGTACATCATGTGATATAGTAGAGGGTCAACTAGAAAGAGGTTGACCTCCAACATGATGGATTGACAAAGTGTCAGCAACAATAGATTCAAACATAACAATTGTGAGAATGGTGCAGGACTGGGCAGTGTTTTGTTTTGTTGTGCATAGGGCCACTATGAATCAGAAGATGGCATCTAGTAACAACAACAATAACCATTACTTGATTTAAAGATGACTTCAGTGGATGGTTTGGCTTAAGGTTTAAATATTTTCTCAGGGTAATACATTAGGGGTTATCCAGCCTCAATGGCTTCAGAAAACCAAGTGCTATTTAAGTTGTATAAGGCACTGTTAACATCCTTATGTAATATCTATTTTTCCATTATTCCTCTCCAAGAGAATGTAAGTTTGGTTTAACGTAGCAAGTGCCTAAGCCAATTATAACAATCTAATCTCTTGATTCCTGACCAGTCTTGTAACAAGGGGAGTCTGTGTGATCTGATTTTTGCAACTGAGACTGAAGAGATGAATACAGGGATTTTTATCCTCTGAAGACAGTGACGAGACAAAACAGAAAGACCTGGATCAAGAATCAAAGCTGCAACTTCTTTTTATATGCAAGGAGGGTTTCAAAAGTTCATGGAAAAATGAAATAAAAAGATAATGGATTTTTTTCTGAAACTTAAAAGACCCATTAAAGATGTTAAGAAAAAAAAAAAAAGGCAAGAATGAAACAAACAAAGAAACAAATAATTTCCCTTACATTTGCTTATGTGTTTGTTAGTTGAATTTTAGGTTACTCTCAGGCAGATATAATTCTAACTCTTTTTTGTTTTGTTTTTATCTACTTATTGTGAATTGAGTGAAGATTTACAGAGCTGATCATTAGTTTTACATTCAACAAATTCTATACTTTGTTTCATTAAAATGATTAAGATCCCTTGTGTGGACTATTAGTTAACCCTACTTATCTCTATTCAATTTAACTCCTGGATTCCTCCTTTCATCTTCCAGTAGCTTCACCTTTCCTCTGCTAACCTTCCTCTTGCTGTATATTATCTTATTATTATCTCTTATAAAAATGATTTTTAATAGTTTGAGTCTTAAAGGTCAGTATGAATGAATACGGGCTACATGGCCAGACAATGTCTGACTGATGAAATGGAAGAAATCAGAAATAACTTGGACTGGTAAGTTGGATCATTATAATGGGCTGATATTAACAACTTAAAAAATGAAATGGAAAGTAATAGAATAGAAAAAATTAGAGTGCTTGCATATGGTAAGGCTAGTTGTTACATCATCAAAATTTTTCTTCATTTGCGTGTGCCCATCAACTGGGGATAGAAAAATGTTTTTCTTATTGTGAGTTGCAATTAAGGAAACTTGGAAAAATACTGATATAGAAATGGTTAGTTTATTCAGCACAGCTTTTTGTCTTTTGGCTATTTCACTGAAGGACTTTTTGTCTTCTACCACACACACTTAGCTTAATAGGTAAATCCACACCAGGTGTACTCCCTAGCTTTATATTTCATAAACATACTCAGAATAAAGGTTAAAAGAATGGATAGGGAAGAGTTAAGAGGGTATAATAAAGTTACTCTAAGAAATATTTTTTTAAAAAGTTAAGCCCTATGGAACTTCTATAGGGAGAATAAGAAATCTGAAATGACAAAAGGTAACTTTTTATATGAGTTTCAGTACTACTTTACAATACAAAAAGACAAAGTATAGGGTGATGGAAAAGACCTTTAATTCTTCAAATATCTGAGTGTAGAATAGAAGATGGAATAAAAAGGAATCTTTTAAAGATTATAATGCAAATGACAAATTATCCTTCTTTGGAAAGTGAGATTGATTTTCTTATAGTTACATTCATGTTATATGTTGAGTCAAATGTGACAGTGATATATTTTAAGACTATCTATATCACATCTCAAGGAGCTCTGGTAGCACAGTGATTACGAGTCAGGCTGCCAACCGCAAGGTCAGCAGTTCGAAACTACCAGCTGTTCCGTGGGAGAAAGATGAGGCTTTCTGCTCCAGTAAAGATTTATAGCCTTGGAAACCCTGTGCAGAGTCACTATGAGTTGGAACCGACTCCACGGTACTTAGCAACAACATATCACATCTCAGTATAATCAAATTTCATAATTTTTAAATATTTAAAAATGTATGTGATTATTTATTGTTGTTAAGTGTTGTCGAGTCAGTTCTTACCCATAGTGATCCTGTATATCCAAGGAGCGGCTGATGAGCTTCCTTTAAACGACTTTCTTTATTCAAACTACTATAAAAAGTAGTACTTGCTTATATTTGTCCTAACACTATTCTATTTAAAATCCAGGAATTTGATCAACCAATTTATTTTTTGTTTGAATCATACAGATTCTATTTTCATATCCTTTCAGTCTGTATGACTGCTATATTGATCTTGTAAGACCGCTTATGTAAAATCTCCTCCTGCTTCCTGAAGACAATGGTTCCCCACCTCTGAACTTTCCCTAGCAGATCCCGTAATATCGTAAGGGTTAAACACTAGATCTACACTGCAATTTATCATGGTTTTATAATAGATGAAATTATATTTTATGTCCACATTGTATGATAATTATATAGAAACAAATTTTCAAGTTAAAAATGATATGAGAGGTTGTGTTGCCCTTATTTTACTAATTCATTTTACTAATTCACTATACAAAACCTAAACCAAATTCACTGCTGTTTGTAATTCTATATAGTGTGAGTAATTATAGTCTAGAATGTGTTTTCACTGTAATTTCGGAGATAATTAGCAAAATCCTTACATAAAATTTATCAATACAGAAATATTTTTCTACTAACATTCCTAAGGCAGGAGAAAAATATTTTTAAGACGAGACTTTGGACAAAGTTACCAGACTGTTTTGTTGTTGTATTGCACTGGATTCCTTACCTCCAAAAAGATGAAATGCTTTTCTGCAGTTTGGTAGTGGCCATTTTGCAGAGCTGGATTTCTGAAAGCTTTGTTTTATTTTCAAATATTCTTTAGTAAAGAATGTTTTTGTGGCATTGTTCAGTTCTAAAATAAAGCAAAAGAAAAAAAAATAGTTTTAAATATTTTAATGAGTCAAATAGGTTGTTTTGGCAAGAAGATGAAAATAATTGCTACGTATTTTGATAAATTCAAATCTTTTTAGGAGAGTGAAGACAAAAGTGTATTCAACCTTTTTCAGCCAAAGTAGATATAACTTCATCAAATTCACATTTGATTCAAATTTGGTATGTCTCCACATTAAACATACAGCTGCTGAGTATCTAGATCCTATGCCAGCTGTGTAAGATACAATGATGAATAAGATACAGTACCTGTGCTCTCAGAGGGTCTTAAAAAGGCAGAGTGACAAAATGGCAGAAGATGCAGAAATGCTACATAGACCTTGCACAACAAATATATGGAAAACAAAATGAAATAGATGCAGATTAAAGACCTAAATGTAAATCCTAGAACTATAAAGATCATCAATGAAAAAACAGGGACAAACTTAATGGCTCTGATATATGGCATACATACACTATCAAACATCATTTATAACACAAATATCAGTAGACAAAAGAGATGACTGGGACCTCTATGTGCATCAAAAATTTTTTCCAATAGAATAAAAAAAGAAGCCACAGACGGGGGGAAATTTTTTGGAATGGCATATCAAACGAGGGACACAAATCTTTAAAATCTATAAAGAACTACAACATGTTCTATAAGAAAAAAAACAAAGAACCCAATTAAAAAATGGGCACAGGACATATGATCAGACACTCTACCAAAGAAAATATTCAAGTGGACGACAAATAAAGAAATGTTTGTTTTCTTTAACCACCGTTGTTGTTATTAGCTGCTGACTCATAGTGACCCTATGCACAACAGAAGGAAACACTGCCCAGTCCTGGGCTAACCTCACATTTGTTGCCACACTTGAGCCCAATGCTGCTGCTACAGTATCAATCCATGTTCTTGGGGGGCCTACTTTTTTTTTTTTTTCTGACCCTCCATTTTGCCAAACATGAAATCCTCCAGGGACTGGTCTCTCCCGATAACATGTACAAAATATGACAGATGAAGTCTGACCATCCTGGCCTCCAAGGAGCACTCTGGCTGTACTTCTTCCCACAGATGTTTGTTCTTTTGGCAGCCCATGGTACTTTCAATATTCTCCAACACCATAACTCAAATGCATCAATTCTTCTATGGTTTTCCTTATTCACAGTTCAACTTTGGCATGTATATGAGGTTATTGAAAATACCATGGCTTGGGTTAGGTGCACATTAGTTCTCAAATTGACATTTTTGCTCTTCAACACTTTAAAAAGGTCTTGTGCAACAGATTTGTCTAATGCAATACGTCATTTGATTTCTTGACTGCTGCTTCCATGAGTATTGATGTTTGATCAGAGCAAAATGAAGTCTTTGACAACTTCATTTTTTTCTCCATTTATATGGATGTTGTTTGTTGGTCCAGTGTTAAGGGTTTCTGTTTTCTTTACACTGAAGTGCAACTCACACTGAAGGCTGTGGACTTTGACTTCATCAGTACGTTAAGTCCTCTTTGCTTTCAGCAAGCAAGTTTCTATGATTTGCATATCGCAGGTTGTTAATGAATTTTCCTCCAATCCCAATGCCACATTTTTCTTCATATAATCCAGTTCCTTAGATTATGTGCTCAGCATACAGACCGAATAACTATGATCAAAGAATACAACCCTGGTGCACAGCTTTACTAATTTTAAACCATTCGCTGTTCCTTTGTTCTGTTAAAAAAATTGCCCCTTGGTCTAGGTAGAGGTTCCTCAGAAGTACAAGTGGAGTGTTCCAGAATTTCTTTCTTTGCAATGTTGTCAATAGCTTGTCATGATCCACACAACGAAAGCCTTTGCACAGTCAACAAAGCACAGGCAAACACCTTTCTGGTATTCTCTGCTTTCAGCCAGCAACCCTCTGACATCAGCATTCTACATCCTCTGAATATGACTTGAACCTCTGGAAGTTCTCTGTCAATGTATGGCTGCAGACATTTTTGTATTATCTTCAGTAAAACTTGACTCTCATGGGATATCAATTATATTGTTGATGATTTCCGCATTCCCTCTTTCACCTCTCTTTGGAATGAGCACAGATATGGATCTCTTCCAGTCAGTCTGACAAGCAGATGTCTTCCAAACTTCTTGGCATAGGTGAGTGAGTGCCTCTAGTTCCACATCAGTTTGCTGAAAGATTTCAATTTGTATTCCATCAATTCTCAGTGCCTTGTTCTTCGCCAATGTCTTGGATTTCTTCCTTCAGGATCATTGGCTCTTGATCATATGCTACCTTTTGAAATGATTGAACATCAACCATCTTTTGTTAGTACAGTGACTCTGTGTATTCCTTGCATCTTCTTTTGATGTTTGCTTCATCATTTTGCCCATAGAACTCTTCAATATCGAAAGTTGAGCCTTTAATTTTATGTCAGTTCCCTCAGCTTGAGAAATGCTGAGCATATTCTTTTCTTTTGGTTTTCAAACTCCAGATCTTTGCACAGTTTGTTATAATATTTGACTTTGTCTTCTCAAGCTGACCTTCGAAATTTTCTGTATCTTCTCAATTTTTCCATTTGCTTTATGGAAACATCTCTATATTGGATAGTAAGAGTCTCTTCTGACATCCATTCTGTTTTTTCTTGACTTCTTAATGACCTTTTGCTTTCTTCCTGTACGTTGTTCTTCATGTCACCTCATAATTCTCTGGACTTTAATCTTTAGAGTCGAATGAATTAAATCTATTGTTCAGATGATCTCTAAATTTCGGTGGGTTTTGTTCAATGTCATATTAAGCCTCTCATGGACCTGATTTTATTTTCTTCAGCTTCAGTCTGAACTTGTATATGAGCAATTGATGGTCTGTTTTACAATCTGCCTCTGGCCTTGTATTAGCTGATGATATGATATGGAGCTTTTTCAACATGTCGTTCCACAGATGTAGTCAATTTGATTTCTGTATGTCCCATTTGGCCAGGTGCATGTTGCAGTCATCTTTTATGTTGTTTAAAAAGGTATTTGTAATAAGTCATCAGTCTTGCAATATTCTATCATGCTTCTCCACAATTGTTCCTATCACCAAGGCCATATTTTCCATCTACTGATCTTTCCTCTTTGCTTCCAACCTTTGCATTTCAATCACCAGTAATTTCAATACATCTTGATTGCATGTTTGATCAATATCAGACTGAAGATGTTCATAGAGCTATTTAATTTCAACATTACTGGCTTTAGTGGTTGGTGTGTAATTATGAATAAAAGTGCTGTTAACTGCTCTTTCTTTTTGGCATATTAAGATTATCCCGTCACATACAGTATTATATTTCAAGACAGATCTTGATACATTCATTTTGATGATGAATTCAACACTATTCCTCTTCAATCTGCAATTCCGCACATAATAAATCATGTCAGATTCAAAATGACCATTAGAAGTCCATTTCAGCTCACTAATGCTAGTGAGGATATAGAAGTGTATGCATCCCATTTAAAAAAATTTTTTTTTAATTGTGAATTATGTGATTGTTTACATAGAAGAACATTAGCTTTACATTCATCCTATTGTATATTGTGTCATTGCCATGGTTACAATCCCCTCCATGCATCATCAACGAACCAAATGGTATACCCTGCAAGCCTGCCCCCGGTTGTCAGCACACGGCCCTTCTGCCTCTCTGGTCTAACGTCTCCAGCCGCTCCATCTCTCCATGTCATCTTCTCTCCCTCTATCTATAGTGTCACTGTTTCTCTGGGTAGGGTTCTGCTCTCTGCTCCTCTCCCTTAATGGTCCCAGGGACCTCCGCTCATAGACTGCAAAGTCAATCACTCCCCTTACTGTTACAGAACGTCTACCTTTACATTTCCAAGCCTCACAATCAGTCCTGATAGCAATTATTCACTACGTATCACAAGAGTCCTATTCGCATCTCCTTTCATCAGCTCTGACCACATAGATTGGATACAACTCAGTGGAAAAGATTCTACCTTCCTCTGTGACCTCTGGATCTCAGCTTCCTCTTGAAAGCTTGTAAGCCAGTCACTTCTTGCCTTTGTAGGGCCCCCCAACACATTTTGGGTAGCCAATGTCCAACTTGCCCATCCTGTGTACTCTGTGTATGGAGAAGGTGGGAATGATCCTTGCTGTAAAGATTTGTTCCCTCTTTTGAGCTACTGCATCCATAGGTGTAAGTCAAGTTCATCAAATTTTATCAGATTACTCTTTTGTTCCTCTTCTTTCTTCTTCTAGTTGATCTCTGATCATCCAGTCATTGAAGCCAGATCAAGTAGGTATTATCTGCAAGTGTGCATATGCCCTTTCTTACCAGCTGGATGCGTCACTCTCCACTCTAGTCCTCTGTGGCTATGTCAATGACTCTGGGCCAGAGTCCCCAGCTCTTGCCACACTGCTGGCCGACCAGGTCTCCACCAGGGTTCACAGAAGTCTATTGAATGTTGTAGGGCTTAGCTGGCAGCTTCACTGCTGTTTTCCCCTCACTTCCCCTTATTGGTGATGAATGTGGTCACCAATCAGGGTGTCTACTCCCATTGACTCTTAGTCTTGGAAGGGGGTTTGCCCTGAGGGGACCCATCCACTTGCCTTGATGTCTCCTGGGCAAGCAACTTGTTTATGTAGTAATCCGTCGGGCTGCCTATATTGTTTGTTTTTTTTCCTGTCGGTCTTTCTTTCAAGAAATATCTTCTTTTGTTCTAGCCACTTCAGGCTGGTCTGTTTGTCCTTTCCAATGGAAAAATCCTACCTTAGAAGATTCTGGATGTGGTTCAGGATTCCACCTATGGTCTTATGTAATGCAGAGGGTCCACAGGAAGCCTCCTTCACTGGGCACGTTGTAGCCCCATTTTAGGTATTCCAATCCGTTATAGGCAGAAGACAGACTACAAGCTTTCCATGATGATATTTCTGGCTATTCCTTTCTTTCCACCTCAAGTGTCTATTTTATAATGGTATGCCAGGGAAACCAACATTCAAAAGACAGCCAAGAATCTTAA